ACCAAGGGGCCATGCGAGAGACAACCAGTTGATGACACAGCAATGTTTCTCTCTCTCTCTCCCCCTCCTTCCCTTCCATTCTATCTAAAAATCAATGGAGCCCTGGCCGGTTTTGCTCAGCGGTTAGAGCGTCAGCCTGCGGTCCACAGAGACCCGGGTTCGGTTCCCGCTAAGGGCAACGTACCTTGGCTGCAGTTTGTCCCCGGCCCTGGTTGGGTCGTGTGGGTGGCGGCCACTCCATGTGTCCCTTTCACATCGATGTTTCTCTCTCTTCCTCTCTCTCCTTCCCACTCTATCTGAGTAAAAAATGGAAAAATGTCCTCGGATGAGGATAAAAAAAAATAAAAAAAAAATCAATGGAAAGGTATCCTCGGGTGAGGATTAACAACAACAAAAAAATCTTTTACATTTTTATCAGAATGTGGGCAGAATGAATGGTATTTTATTTTAACTGCATTTTCCTTATTGTTACCTGATTACCTTTCCAGATACTATATATTATCCATTTCCATTTCTTCTTTAAGTCCTCTCTTCATTTAAACCGACATGTTCTACATCTCACTGACAATACTCATCAAATACTTGGTAAATTATAGAGTTTTAAAATTATACTCTTCTCGACCGACCAGTGTGGCTCAGTGGGTTGAGCATCATCCCATGGACTGAGAGGTCCGGGTTCGACTCCTGGTCAAGGCACATGCCCAGGTTTCGGGTTCGATCCTCAATAGGGGGCATGCAGGAGGCAGCCGATCAATGTTTCTCTCTCATGTCAATGTTTCTATCTCTTTCCCTTCCTCTCTCTCTAAAAAATCAATAAAAACATAACATAAATAAATAAAACATTTACTCTATACAGTGCCCTTAAAAAATTTTTTTTAATAAAAAAATAAAATTATACTCTTCTCAATTCCCTATATACTATAGATTGATTATCCAAGGCAAATCTTAAGAAATTTTATTGCAAAAATGCAGTAAAGCTTTGTTTCTGTTAGACATTTTCATAAGCTCCTCATCTTATACTTCAACCCTCTACGGTTGATACTATAAATCTCTCTTATATGCAAGTAATAAGCAGTTGCTCACAAGAGTCAGTTCACTTGTTAGAGAGTGACAAAAATGGAGTATGCATCAGAACCCAGGTCTTCTGAGACCAGGTCTGTACTGTGTCAAACTGTTTCAGGCTTTTTATGTGTGTGTGTGTGTGTGTGTGTGTGTGTGTGTGTGTGTGTGTGTGGTACGTGCCCCTAGCAGGAAACTGTTTCAGGCTTTTTATGTGTGCGTGTGTGTGTGGGGGGGGGGGGGTACGTGCCCCTAGCAGGAACCGAACCAGGGACTCTCTGGTCTGCAGGCCGACGCTCAACCGCTGAGCCAAACTGGCCAGGGGTGTTTCCACGATTTTCATACTCTTACCCTTCTTAAAACTCCCTCATCCTTTAGTTCTATGGTACAGTCTATCCCTGATGTTCTGTCCTTCCTAACCATTCTTCCTGTTTCTTTTGTTACTTCCTCTTCCTCCTCCCTGGGATTTCTGAGCTTCATTTTCACTGGAAGGTCACAAGGCCACTCTTATTAAAGAATGGAACCTTAGGAAACTCCAAAAGTAAAATAATAATGAACTGATTCTCACTCATGACCATGACTTATGTATACCACTCTCCGTTGGTTGTTCTCCTACAGCTGACATCTCTCGGTTGACCAGACCTTCCTACCCACTTCAATCCGTTAAAATTAATTTACCAGAGTTTTCAGTTTAACCCCTTCCTCTTACAACCCTACAGACTGGCTAGCACAAGTTCATTCATTTCCATGAGGTCAACTACCATCTATTTGCTGATGGTTTTATCTCCAGCTAAGGCTATTATCTGAGCTTCAGACTATATTCCCAACTGGAGAAAAAAAAAAAAGCCATGGATGATATTTCTTAACTACATCCAAAACTAAATTCTTCATCTTACCCTCAAAACTTGTCTTCCTATTTATATCCTCTTTCTAACCAGTAATCCAAGACAGAACTCTGGGAACCATTCTAAGTTCTTCCTTCTGGTTCAAGTAATTCTGATACCCTACCGGTTGAAGCATCTGTCCAGAACTTCTCTGTCCTTGCTGTGTTTCTTCCTTATCTTGTTTCTCACCTGAATCATTTGTACACAGGAGGTCAAAATTTTGTTGAATACAAGAATAAACCCTACTTAATCTGGTCCCTGCTTAACCCTCCAGCCTCATCTCCCACTTGTCCCACTAAGGGCATGAACCACGTCTTAGTTCATTTTGGAGATGCTCAACTGAGTTGACGTGCCACTCCAGCATATCTACGAAATGAATCATAGCAGGTTTCCCATACTTTAATCAAACCTTTAGAGAATAAGACCCAAGAATTCATTTTTAACAAGCTCTTTTGGCGACTCCTATATAACCAATCCAGTTACAGCCTTTAAGAGCCAATAAATTAAGTCTATTCTCATCACTCTCATGATGAAAGGAAGCAACCTCAAACAGGAGCAGAAATGGAATTAAACAACTTTCTTGCCACCTCCATGTAGACCTAGGTAGGATAAATAGACCTCACACAGACATAAATATCAGTAATTCCTGAGTCATCTTCTACTATAACCACTTTGCCTAACTCAGCATCCTCACTCAGTTAACGTACTGCAATAGGGCTATTGCACCCCTTGTATCCCCACAAACTATTCTCTAGACAGCAACCAGAATGATCTTTTTAAACAACAAATCAGAACATGCCACCATCCCCTCAACCTATCCCACATCCTAGCAAGCATTTTAAGAACAAAATCCAAACTTCTTACTCTGGTTTACAAAGCCCTACTTAATCTGGTCCCTGCCTAACCCTCTGGCCTCATCTCCTACACTCTGCCTACACTGCAACCACACTAGTTTTTTTGTTCCTGAAATATACCAATCTTGTTTCCAGCCTTAGAATTTTTGCATTTGCTATTTCATCTGTCAAGAAGGTTCTCCCTGATCGGATCATGACTAGTCCCCCTTGTTCCTATTCAGCCTCACCTTAAATGTCACTTCTCAGAGAGGCCTTCTCCAACCATTCAATCAAAAGTAGACTTCCAGTCTCATGCTGGGACAACACTCTATCTGAATTTCCTACAAGGCATTTATTACAAGCTGATATTCTCCATTTATTTGTTCATTCTCTGTCTCATGCCCATAAGAATGTAGGCTCTATGACAGCAGTGAACCCACCTGGATAGTACATTCATTCATTATTTTATGCCCAAGGCTTAGAACAGTGCCTAGCATACAGCTCAATATATATTTGTAATCATCCACTCTTATTTGGGGATCATCACTATATGAAAGTTCTGACTTTATCAAAGAGTAAATAACAAAATTTCATCTTTTAATAAAGTGTATCCATTGAATAAATCCAATTTGTGTAGTTAATGGAAAAGTAAAATTCAAACAAAATTATTTTTTACATCTTCTAAATCAGGGAATTACAAACAATAATCAATATGTCTAAAAATTATTCACACCAAAATCATTATATTTTTCCAGTCACTAGTTTAAAAAAACTTTAAAGTTGTTATAAATTTTACCAGATGAGAGGAAAAAACCCAAATGTCCATCAACCAGTAAATAAATAAATCATGGCATAACCATACAAAGAATACAACACTAAGCAATAAAAAGGAATTAATTTTTATTCATATATATAACAATATGGCAGAGTTTTAAATTATGCTCAGTGAAAGAAGTCAAGTAAAAGAGTACATATTAGCCCTGGCCAGTTTGGCTCAGCGGTTAGAGCATGGGCCCACGGACCAGAGAGTCCTGGGTTCGGTTCCCACTAAGGGCACATACCTCGGTTGCAGTTTGGCCCTGGCCCCAGCTGGGGTCGTGTGGGTGGCAACCATGTGATGTGTCTCTCTCACATCGATGTTTCTCTCTCTCTTCCTCCCTCTCCCCTTCCCGCTCTATTTGAAGATAAATGCAAAAAGAAAAGTACATATTACATGATTCCATTTATATAAAGTTTTTGAATAGTGACAGAAGACAGATCAAAGGTTATCTGGGGGTGGGAGTAGCAAGACTACAAAGAGGAACGAGAAAACTTTTGGGACTGAAGGACATGTTCATTACCTTGATTGTGGTGACTGGTGTAAACATGTGACAAAACTTACCAAACTGCACACTTTAAGTATATGACTTACTGAATGTCAATTATACCTTAGACTTTTAAAAAAGCAAATCAGGTACACACCCTTGCATAAAATCCTTGAATGGCTCTCCATACTCCAAAAACAGAAAATGTATTACAAGCTTTATCAGCATAAGGGATAATCATTTAAATGGAATGACCTGCCCTGGCTGGTTAGGCTCAGCAGTTAAAGCGTTGGCCTGCGGACCAGAGAGTCCTGGGTTTGGTTCCCGCTGAGAGCACGTACCTCTGTTGCAGTTTGTCCCCGCCCCGGTTGGGGTCGTGTGGGTGGCAACCACTCGATGTGTCTCTCTCACATCAATGTTTCTCTCTCTCCACCCCCCTCCTGCTCTATCTGAAGATAAATGCAAAAATGTCCTCAGGTGAGGATTAAAAATAAATAAATAAAAATAAATGGAATGACCAGCAAACTAACGTCATAAGCTGACTTCTAGTGGTTAATAAAAACCAGACATACTTCACCCAGCCGGTGTGGCTCAGTAGACTGAGCATCGCCCCATGGACTGAGAGGCCTTTGTTCGATTTCCAGTCAGGGCACATGCCCGGGTTGCAGGCTCAGTTCCCCATGAGGGGCGTGCAGGAGGCAGCTGATCAATGTTTCTCTCTGTCTCCCTTCCTATCTCTCTAAAAAAAAAAAAATCAATAAAAACATTAAAAAAAGAACCCCAAATCTGAAAAAAACAAAAACAATAACCAGACATACTTCAACAGATTGATTTTTAACTTCAAAAAAATATATAAATAGTAAATTCACAAAAAATTTAAATTTCTACATCAAAAGCTAAAAATGTAAACTCTCAATTACCTGTAGAAGGTGGTGATTTCTCTGGGTGCTTTGCATTTAAAAGTTTTCTGCTAATAAATATGTAACCACAGGGACATGATTTACATGCAACAGGAACCTGTAGAAAAAAAGGAAAAATGTACATTACCATTTTTCTATTGTTTACATAGTCTCCTGAACTAAATGATAAATTAGTTAAAATAGAAATTGTAGATTTATTTAAACCCCACCTCTTTACAATAAATTATTTGACATGGGTATTGTGTCCTATACGTCTTCATATTTTCCTAAGGCCTTACAATATCATCAATATTGCAAAAAAACAGGTACTGATGTGAGTGACCAATAGAAAAGCATAGAAGGATCAGAGCCAGGGAAAATATGTGGGAAAGAAAGATAACATTTCTTTTTTCTTTTTGTTTTAATCCTCACCTGAGGATATTTTTCCATTTTATCTTCAGATAGAGTGGGAGGGAGGGAGGGAGGGAGGGAGGGAGGGAGGGAGGGAGGGAGGGAAAGAAACATCAATGTGAGAGAGACACCAACTGGTTGCCTCCTGCATGACCCGGACCAGGGCTGGAGACCAAACTGCAACTGAGGTATGTGCCCTTGGCCACAATTGAACCCACCACTCTTTGGTCCACGGGCCAATACTCTAAACTGCTCAGCCAAACTGGCCAGGGTGAAAGGTAGCACTTCTTATGAGATTACTTTAATCAGCAGTTTATATAGAACAAACTGGAAAAGGGAACATGGCTGGGAAGTCATTCAAGTAATCAGTATATACAACTATGAGAGCCCAACTGGAAATAATAGTAAGATGGAAATGGAGAAAAAGTAGATCTCTGCCAGACATTTCAAAAGGGAAAAAGACACTCTGTTCGGTCCCACATTTTGTGGCATGCAGCATTCCAGGGAAGTGCTGTACTGTGTTCCTTTGGTTATAGTTTTGCATTTAGAGTGCCTTATAATTGATGCCTATTTTAATAGCATTTCTTTCTAGCTTCTGGTTCGTATTTCCATTGGCTGTTCATATATGCTACTCTTCCTAGTAAAGCATTATCTGTTAAAAGGGGGGGGGGGGCAGGGGGAGAACTGAAAATGACTCTGGTTCTAACACGACAAGGTAAGATGCCGATTACCAGTGACAAAAAAGAACAGTTTATGACAACCAATTTGAGGGACAAAATTATATTCCAAACAAAAGAGAATGTAGGAGATAGTAGTCGCTGACATCTAGGGTCATATCATCTCAGCTCCAGAAAGGACACAGGATAAAACAATGTGGACCCTGAGAAAGAAGGTACCTACTAAGAAGGGTTCCAGGTAGCTAACTGGGCTCAAGATGATAAAACAGAGCCTAGCAGCTGTTTCTACACTGGAACCTCTCACACGACCTGTGCCATCCGAGCCAGACCTTATAAAGGAGTTCCTGGAATTGCATTTCAACTAATAGGACTAGACTTCCTGGTACAATTGGAGCTTCCCATCTATATCCCTATTAGAATCTTCACCAACCAATCAGGACAGTGCTTTGAGGACCAATCAAACAGTGAGAATTTGGAGTCCTCATCTGCATGAGGATGAGCCAATCAGGGACCAGGGGCTGGGACTTACGTCTATATAAGTCAGCTCAGATGGCTCTGGGAGCGTACTTGCCCTTCCCACTGGAGTCTAGACTGGGTTTCCCAGAGAGGGCTGAAACACTAAAGAGGAAACACCAAAGACGCCTCCCCATGCCAGAGTGGAGAAGAGCAGGCAGATCAGGGCAGAACAGAGCTGTGTAGCCAGAGAGGTGCCTCATCCCAGTGCCACCTCACAGCTGTGCTGCTTCATAACTGAGCTGTGAGCTGGGCTGTATTACAACTGAGCTGTCTGCACTGAGTAAAGTTTCTCCCCACCACACCCCAGATTGGGGGTTGCTGCTGCTGCTGAGTTGCGCCAACAACAACCAGCTGACAGCACTTAAGCTCTCCAGGCCTCTACTTCTAAAGTCATAAAATACAGACGACTCCTTTCTCCATTTCGAGCCTATAAATATTTTTAAAAAGTCAAATGTTACTGAAAATCATTGAAAAATATTTTACGTTTACCCCAATAACCCTTTTACTAAATTAACCTTAATGATCCTTGGAATTAAGGCATGTTAATCAAAACCCAGAAATTAATCTCAACAAAAAGTACTTACAGAATAATTAGAAAACTGCAATTCCCTATGTAAATTAAATTAATCTGCCCATTATTCTGCTTGTTAAAAGTTTAGTTATAATCATAAAGCTTTTTACCCATGCATGTACAGAATGCCTTGTATTCTAGAATACTGTAAAACCTCGATATAATGGACTAATTCAGGAGCAGGGGTGTCCATTAAAGCTGAAGGTCCGTTATATAATAAAGTAGGTTTTCCAGATGCATATGCTGAAAAATCGACAAATTAGTTACTTTACCTTTTTACTTATATAGACACACTTGTGTAATTAAAATTATGAAAAGTTTAATTTCACAGAAAAGTTTTCTATATGTATTACTGTAATTTTAAATTTATACTGAATAGGTGTAGTAAATGCATGCATTCACCAGTCACAAGTAAACAAATGCACATGGCTGGGTCGTGGCATAGTGCATGTGTGAACATTGGTCAGCACCTTAAAACTGCTGCAGAAGGTCATGGCACTAGACAAAAGAACCAATCACCTGGTGTTATGCGGTGTTATGTGATCACATGCTAATCATTCCCTGAACACTGTTTACAAGAGCTGACTCTTGGACTTAAATAAGTAGACGATAGCTGTAGGTATGTAATATTTATTTATGTTGGTAAAATTACTACAGTGTTTTTTCCAACATACGGCCTATTCGCTAAAATTTCTTAAAAATAACTGAATTAGCCCTGGCCGGTTTGGCTTAGCAGTGAGAGCATCAGCCTGTGGACCAAAGAGTCCTGGGTTCAATTTCGACCAAGGGCACGTACCTGGTTTTGCAGTTCGTCCCCAGCCCTGGCTGGGGTCGTGTGGGTGGCAATCAATTGATGTGTCTCTCTCTCACATTGATGTTTCTTCCTCTCGCTCTCCCCCTCCCACTCTGTCTGAAGATGAATGTAAAAATATCCTCGGTTGAGGATTAAAAATAAATAAATAAATAAAGTTTAAAAAATAAAAATAAAAATAGCTGAATTGACCTGGCTACTGTGGCTCAGTGGTTGAGCATTAACCCATGCACCAAGAGGTCACTGATTTGATTCCTGGTCAGGGCACATGCCCAGGTTGTGGTTCATCGACGTTTATTTTTTTTTTTATTATTTTTTTTTTTTAATCCTCACCTGAGGACATTTTTCCATATTTTGTTCAGATAGTAGAAAGAGAGAGAGAAACATCGACGTGAAAGGGACACATCGAGTGGTCGCCACCCACACGACCCAACCAGGGCCGGGGACAAATTGCAACCGAGGTACATGCCCTTAGTGGGAACTGAACCCGGGTCTCTCTGGACCGCAGGCTGACGCTCTAACCGCTGAGCCAAACCGGCCAGGGCCCATCGATGTTTCTATCTCACTCTCCCTCTCCCTCCCTCTCGCTCTAAAAGCAATAAAAAAAAAATTAATTAATTAATTAATAACAAAAAAAACCTGTTAATTTAACTATAAGTAAATCTTTGTTAAAAGCATTTTTAAATTAACAGGGTGCTAATTTTCACATATGACATATGGACCAGAAATTTTGTCCATTAAATCAGAAATTTGTTAAATTGACAGTTTACTGTATAAATACTTGATCTAATTAAGATAAATAAAACTTTTGGCAGAATTGTTTTTCTTTGCATAAAAATGTTCAAGAACATCTACTTGAATTTAAGAAAAATAAGAATAAATCCTATAAAAATAATCAAACTCCAGATATGTCTAAGAGTTTGCTTTATTAAAAATGTGATCTGATTCTTTCAAACCATGATAGAAAATGTAACATTACATTTTTAATAGTGCACAATCTGCCAAATATAGATATATTTGTCATTTAAAAAATTTCACATCTTCATAGAAACCAAGCTCAAAGGTACTGACTCATTTCCTTTATGTTCACACATCATTAAGAGCATCACAGTAATATAAATTGTTTTAAGTTAATGCTATACAGAAAACATATTCTTATGCAACAGATCCTTTGCTACTCAGCAAGCATTTTCTTCCGGCTACTAAAACTCAATAAATTTCCATTTAAGTCTCTGCTTTATACCCCCCAAAATTTTATCAGCCCATATCCAGAATGAACACAGGGTGCTACAGTTAGATGAGAAATGTACATTTGGTTTTGGGATGAAGAATGCACACACACTGATTAATTTATAGGTTGACTTTCATCCCTTAATACAAGTGTCTTATGCTCAAGAAACATTCAATGCACCGGGGCTAAATCACCCTAGAGTCCTATCTATCTATCTATCTATCTATCTATCTATCTATCTATCTATCTATGGTTAATCCTCACCAGAGGATATTTTTACATTGACTTTTTAGAGAGTAGGAGGGAGGGAGAGTGGGAGGGGGAGAAAGAGAGAGAGAGAGAAACGTCATGGGAGAGACATGGATTAGCTGCCTCCTGCACAGCCCATCAGAGCCTGGGAACCCTACAACCCAGGTACGTACAGGGGCCTTGACTAGATTCAAACTGCAGACCCTTCCGTCCCTGGTCGACATTTTATTCATGGAGCCAAACTGGCCAGAGCCCTAGAGTCCTTTTTAAAATGGAAAGTTTCTTCCCTCACCCCAACCCACCAGAGAAAAAAAGAAAAGAAAAGAAAAAAAAAACGCAACCAAACACCACTACAACAAATACCCAAAATATTCTTCAAATTTCAGTCACAATGCCAAAGATAATGGTAATGAAAGTTCTAATGCTCCACTTTCATGAATTTAACATAGAAAAAAATTCCAAAATTTTGTTTACTGATGACTTATTGCATATCACTTTATTTCTTGAAAAATATATTTAGGTTTTTTGTATGTTTTACAAGTAAACAGATTAAAAAAAAAAAACAAAAACCTACAAGAAACAAAATCCTGGTCCTATATTGTTTCACTGATTTTAAAAAGCTGTACAATAACCACATTGTAGAGAACTCATTTATATTCCTTGCTGCCAAAACAGCAGTTCTCAACCTGTGGGTTGCAACCCCTTTGGGGGTCCAACTATCCGCTCCCCTACCCACTCCAGGCGGTCGCCCACATGCAGATAAGCCCACATACAACATGGACTGTATTAGGAAGGCTGAGAACCACTGTGCTAAAAGAATCAAAGTTACCTATAGTGGACATGTTTACTATATGTTACATAAAATTTCCTATAAATGGGGTTAAAAAAGAAACAGCTGCTCTATTTTTAAAAATTAAGGCAAAGCCCAGCTGGTGTGGCTCACTGGTTGAATGTCGACCCGTGCACCAAAAGGTTGTCTGTTCGATCCCGGATCAGGGCACATGCCCAGGTTGTGGGCCAAATCCCCAGTGGGGGCATGGAGGAGGCGGCCCATCAGTGTTCTCTCTCATCAATGTTTCTTTTTTTTTAATCCTCACCAGAGGACATTTTTACATTTATCTTCAGACAGAGCAGGAGGGAGAGAGAGAGAGAGGAAGAGGACATTTTTACATTTATCTTCAGACAGAGCAGGAGGGAGAGAGAGAGAAACATCGATGTGAAAGGGACACATCGAGTGGTTGCCACCCGCACAACCCATCCAGGGCCAGGGACAAACTGCAACCAAGGTACATGCCCTTAGCAGGAACTGAACCTGGGACTCTCCGGTCAACAGGCCAACACTCTAACCACTGAGCAAAACTGGCCAGGGCTCATCGATGTTTCTCTCTCCCTCTCTCTTCTTCCTTTCTCTCCAAAATCTATAAAGAAAAAAAGTTAAGCCCTGGCCGGTTTGGCTCAGTGGTTAGAGCGTTGGCCTGCGGTCCGGAGAGACCCGGGTTCAGTTCCCACTAAGGGCATGTACCTCGGTTGCAGTTTGTCCCCGGCCCTGGATGGGTTGTGCGGGTGGCAACCACTAGGTGTCCCTTTCATGTCGATGTATCTCTCTCTCTCTCTCTCTCTCTCTCTCTCTCTCTCTCCCTCCCTCCCTCCCACTCTATCTGAACAACAACAACAAAAATGGAAAAATGTCCTCAAGTGAGGATTAAAAAAAAAAAAAAAAGTTAAGGCAAAAACGGAAACATACACAAAAGATATCAAGAATCATGAGTAATACTACACACAAAATGGCTCTGGGTTTAGTGGATGTGAAATGCCCTTGAAAAGTATTGTGGTTTAGATGTTTCAGAACCATATTTCCAAATAGAGGCATGTAAAAGGGATATTCTAAAGCAATTAAAAACCTAGGTTTTCCTTGTTTATTGCTTTATCTGTTTTAAACGTACAGATACACACAGAACGTGTGTGTATCTCTTCAACTGAGGTAATTTCCTCAAACTCTGAAGATGTTATTTTTCTCTTTTTAACTGATTTTTGGAGAGAGAGAGAGACACACACATTGATGGGTTGCCTCCCACAGGCACCCCCACAGGGGATGGAACCAACCTGGGTACGTGCCCTAACGGGGAACTGAACCCGCTGCCCCTTGGTGTCCAGGACAACACTCTGACCAACCGAACCACCCAGCCAGGGCTGAAGATTTTACACTTATATTTATAAACTAAATTCAAATCAAATGGCTTTCTGGATTATAACTGTAAGTAATTAAAATGCTAAAATTGATCTATTTTTTTTTTTTCAACTCAGTTACATTAGAAAAAGATAAATCACTTTTAAGAATCACCTTGGCCCTGGCCAGTTTGGCTCAGCGGTTAGAGCGTCGGCCCGCGGTCCCGAGAGACCCGGGTTCGGTTCCCGCTAAGGGCACGTACTTTGGTTGCAGTTTGTCCCCGGCCCTGGTTGGTCGTGTGGGTGGCAGCCGCTCGGTGTGTCCCTTCACGTCGATGTTTCTCTCTCTCTCTCTCCCTCCCACTCTATCTGTACAAAAGATGGAAAAATATCCTCGGGTGAGGATAAAAAAAAAAAAAAAAGAATCACCTTGGCCAGTATGGCTCAGTTGGTTGGAGCCCAGTGCATCAAAAGATTGCGGGTTTGATCCCCCACTGAGGTATGTACGAAAGGCAACCGATCAATATTTCTGTTTGTCTCTCTCTCCCCCACACACACTTCCTTTCTAACATCAATAAGCATGTCCTCAGATGAGAAAAAAAAATTACCAAAAGTTTTCATTAGTACCACGTATGTTTTTTTTGTCTTCTGATTTTTTTTTTTATTAATTTATTTTTGTTACAGATGTTTCTCCTTTTTTCCCCATTGGCATGCTTCTCCCCTTCCCCCCACCCCGCCCCCAGCTTTGTTGTCCATGTCCATTGGTTATGCATACATGCATACAAATTCTGTGGTTTATCTCCCCCCCCCTTCTCTTCTGAGGATTGTCAGTCTGTACCCTACTTCCACATCTCTGAGACTACCCTGTTCCTCAGAGTGTTATGTTCATTATATTCCACAAATAAGCGAGATCATGTGATATTTGTCTTTCTCTGCTTGGCTTGTTTTGCTTAGGATAATACTCTCCAGGTCCCTCAATGTCATCTCAAAGGGTAAGAGATCTTTCTTTCTTACAGCTGCATAGTACTCCATTGTGTATATGTACCACAGCTTTTTTATCCATTCGTCTACTGATAGACACTTGGGCTGTTTCCAGATCTTAGCTATTGTAAATAGTGCTGCTATGAACACCGGGGTACATATATTCTTTCTGATTAGTGTTTCCGGCTTCTCAGGGTATATTCCTAGAAGTGGGATCATGGGTCAAATGGCAATTCAATTTTTAATTGTTTGAGGTAACACCATAGTGTTTCCCAACCCACGTATGTTATAGTTATACTACCTTAAGTAGTGTTTCAGGACAAAGCAAACCAACATTTTAAATTATGTAGTAGCTTGCTATGGACTGAATTGTGTCCCACCTCCCACCCCAAATTCGTATCTTTAAGCCCTAACCCCTAAAATGATGGCATGTGGAGATGAGATAATTAGGTTTAGATGAGGTCATGATGTGGGGCCCTCAGCATGAAATTAGTGTCACTATAAAGAAGACACCAAGAACTTGGACATCCAGCCTCCAGACTGTGAGAAGATAAGTTACTGTTGTTTGAACCGCCCAATCTATGGCATTTTATGACAGCTAGAGAGGGGATTGTGTGTGCAAAAGAAAACTGATGCGATCTTTACAAGTAACATACGGATCACGTTCTGTTGAACAGTTACAGAGACTCCTACAAGTTTATTATCCTTTCCTCTTTCTTTAACCAGGATAGCAAAACCAGGTTATTTTCCCCAAAAGCTTACTTTGTGCCAAGGAAAACAAGGTCAGGATTTGCAATAACTTGTGCCCTACAGAAACTGGAATGCATAATACATACCACAGAAACTGTATCCTTCTGCACTATTAATTGGAACAAATGGAAATCATTTAAATATTGAAACAAAACCCCTGCAAAGAAACTTAAATCTCAAAGCGCCCCCCCCTTTTTTTCAGAATTTAACAAGTCTGGGTTCTTGCTAAGAATGGAAGTTTAACTCTTCGCTTTGAAAAACACTCCATTATTTTTAAAATGCCTCCTCATACTCCAAGATCGATCACGTTAATTCCCCTTCCACAATCCTCCTCTAAGGAGCCTCTATCACTGCCCGTCAAGGATACTGAATAAAACATTCAACATTTGTTACACGACTTGATCCCCCCCCCAAGACTGCTCTTTAAAGAAAGCACTAAAATCGGCTTATTAAAAGTCTCCAGCCATTTCAAATGACTGCTGATTTTTTTTTTTTAAAAGACAAAAAAAAAAAAAAAGGAAAGGGGGAGGAGAAAGGTAGTCATTTTGAAAAAATCCTCCTGGTGGAAAAGAAAAAACACCCCCCGAGCCGCACGCTGGCATGAAATTAGAGCCGTGCGCATGGTTTTAATCGAGCGCGCTACCTCGTCGGGCGCGAGGTTTGGGGGACGCCCGCCCCGCCGGGGAAGAACGGGGCGCTGCCGCCCCGCACGGCGGCCGGGGCTCCACGTCGCAGCGCCGTGCTCCGAGCAGACGGCGGTCGTCCGGAAGGCACGAACCACCACGCACATATTTTCAAGGCTCCGAGACAGGAACGCCCCGCTTGTAGCCCGGGATGGCGTGCGGAGCGGGGGAGCGGGGCGCCCTCCAGCAACGCTCCACGAAAACACCGTAAAGGAGGAATTCACGGTGATTTACGGCAGGGACATAGGAAGTGGATGGAGGAGAAGAAAATTCTCCACATTCGCCGGAACAGAGCACCATTCCACTGGGCCCGTCGGTCACACGTGGGCGTCCGCCAGGGCGCGGCGGGGACAGTCGGGCCCCTGCACGTCTGGTGGGAACAAAGCCACCCTGAGGCGCAGACGGGGCGCCCGGGGCCAGGACCCGGCTCCCGGCCGCCACGCGCGCACGCCCGACGGGGCCCGAGGGCTGCGGGGCCGGACCCGCCGCTGTCACCGGAGCCGGCAGCCGCCGCGGGGCCAGCCCACGCCCCCTTCCGCGCCGCCGGCCACAGGACGGACACCCGCCGTCCCTCCGCCGCCAGGTGCGCGCCGCCCGGCCGCGGCCCCCGCGCTCCCCGGACACCCGGGCTCGGCGCGGACCCGGCGACGCGGCCTCCCCCAGCCCACCGCCGCCGGCCCGCCGCCCACCTGTTGGTCGCACTCGGGGCACGATTTGGTGGCCATCTTCACTTTCTTGGCCCGACTCGCGGACATGCTCCCCGGCGGCGACGGCGGCGGCGGCTGGGCCCCTCCCCTTGCACCTCAGCGGCCCGGCCTCCGCCCGCCAGGTCCCGCTGCCCAGACTGAGGCGCTGCTGGGTGCGCGCGCGCGTGCGTGAGGGCGGGCGGAGCCTGCGTACGAGGGGGCGGGGCGCGGCGTGCGCTGGCTCCGTGGGATGGGCGGACTCTCAGACAATGGCCACACCTTCTCTCGGTTCCATGGACGGCATGGGGCGTGGCTAGGGCGGAATCTGACAGTGACGGGCATCTGGTTCCACCAATGAGTGCACAGAGTACAGATAGGTACAGGGCACGCCTCCCTAAGTGGGGAAGGTAAAAGGGACTACGTGAGAGGGAGTGGAAGGTAAATCGCCCAGCACAGGTTCCGGCGCCTTTAGTTAACTTCACTAACTCTTAGCAAGTCTAGTCATTGAAGAGTTGTAGACATCTAATTAGTCTGCTATATGCCAAGCTCTGGAGTCGGTGGCCCAGGAAATAACATTCGTTGTCCATTATTTATTGAGGACCAATTCTGCCGCACAAAGGTGAACACTAGGAAGTGCTGCCCTCAAAAACACATGGTCAAGTGCAGACAAGGTACATTCCAATAAAGAGAAGTTGGGTTGCCCTGGCTGCTTTGGCTCAGCAGTAAGAGCCTGGTCCTCTGGACCGGAGAGTCCCGGGTTCAGTTCCCACTAAGGGCACGTACCTCTGTTGCAGTTTGTCCCTAGCCCTGGTTGGGGTCGTGTGGGTGGCAACCACTCCATGTGTCTCTCACATCGATGTTTCTCTCTCTCTCTCTCCCTCCCTCTCTGTATGATTAAAAAAAAAAAAACAAAAAACGGAGAAGTTGGGTTGTTGACGGGAAGGGTAAGTCGGTTGACTAAAATGTTTTAATCAAGATTTAAGATCCACCTAGCTTTTGATCTAGCAATCCCATCCCTAAGAATTTAAAGAAAAGATATCTGCACCAAAATCCATGTGTGCAAAGGTGTTGCACTTTGCAGCATTCCTTGTCAGAGCAAAATCAGAAACAGCCCAGGTGTGCACCAACAAATTGCTTGGGGAAACTAAGGTATGCATACAACAGAATATCATTGCAGCTCCGCCAAAGAATGAGATAGGCCTATATAAAGTGATAAAATGACCTTATATAATTCTAGAAAAATAAGGTACAGAACACTGAAGGGAAAAGAGGAAGACTTGTTTTTCATTCCACATCCTATTGTATTATTTGAATTTTCTACTAGGTCAACCTCAGGAGCAGATGGTTATTTTTAGTATCTGAGATACTTTTCAGTCTTCCTGTTCTGCCGGGGTCTGGGAAATTACCAGGTTGAACATATGCCTTTTTGTAGGCCAAAATTAAAATGTTTTATTTTTGAGAAAAACAACTTTATTCAAACAAAATATGCACTATTAGCATTAACGGCTTTCCCAAAATGATAAATATCCCCAAATATTAAATGATATATACCATATTTATAAAATTAAGTAATGTTAAAATATCCCCAAATCATTCAATTACTACTTCTTAGTTGGAGAATGTTCTGTTTCGTAAAGGTACCAATGACAATAAAACGTGGTAATCTGTTGAAAAAGTCAGATGAGTATGATGAACATGCTAAATGTCTTCGTCCAATTCAGTTATCTTCCCCACAGTGGTCTATGGTCAACTGCTGTCCTGGAAAAGCACAGGTCCACGGCTGCTGACCAATGCAAAGTGCTTTTGAGAGATCTGGGTACGTGATTTCAACTGCTCGATAATGCCACTGTTAGTTTTAAAACAGCAAAAGTACTTTGGGTTAAAAAGCAGTAATGAAATACCCTTTTTGCACACCACCAACAGTTACCAGATCCTTTTTTGGTTGAACGATGGTTTCAACACATTTGGGAACTTCATCAACATTCAACCATTGTCCAGATCACTTTCAGTTCCATTTTTTGTCACAGCTTATGAAGCTCTCGTAAGGTCTCTGGTCTTTCAAATCTTCTTGAGGGATGAGCATATCACTAACCATCTCAGCTTATGATCAACCATCACCTGGTGTTACCCACTTGTCCAATTTTTTCACCTTTCCTATTGCAGCCAGGTGTCGAGAAATTGTTGTAGCAGAAACTCCTAAGTCTGCCGCAAGGCCTCGGATTGCTGTTTTGGGGTTAGCTTCCACCATGGCTCTCAATTCATCTTCATTTAAAACAGACCTGGGTCTCCCTCGAGGCTCGTTTTTCAGGCTCAGATCCCCAGAACGAAATTTTTCAAACCACCACCGGATAGTCCTTTCACTAACAGAGCCTTCTCCAAAGACAGAAATGATGTTTCTACTTGCCATGGCTGCACTATGTCCTAGTTTAAATTCATATAAAAAAAGTATTCGCAGATCTTTCAAAGACACGGTGTGGTTCACTTCTGTGGAGAAAATAAACATAAAACTCAAATCATCAGAGAAAACGGAAGAGCATATCATCATTACAAATACTAAGCAACACAACTGAAAGCAGACCTGACATCAACTTGACCATCACAGTTACGTTTCAACTGGTCAGGTATCAGCAATCTCATTTGGAGGATGTGTTTGGATCACTGTCCTCTGCTGCCATCAGTATCTATCAGGTGGATGTTACTATTAAGTCTTTGGCTTTCCAATAGACAACTGCCAGTAATTTTATAAGCATCTACCACAGAAAAAATACTTTTGAAATAAAATGAGTTGTGCTTTTATTTTTTTAATGTTTTTATTGATTTTTTAGAGAGGAAGGAAGGGAGAGATAGATTGAAACATTGATGTGAGAAACATCAATCAGCTTGCCTCCTGCACGCCCCCCCACCAGAGATGGAGTCTGCAACCCTGGCATGTGCCCTGACTGGAAATTGAACCAGGGCCTCTCAGTCCATGGGACAACACTCAATCCACTGAACCACACCGGTTGGGCGAGTTGTGCTTTTAAAATCCAGGAACTCAATGCCTACCAATTTTTTCAGTGCTATCAAATTAAGATCTCAGATCAATTTGATGCTTGGAAAAAAATTCTCCCATAATGGGTTGAAAATACCTGTTTCTTAAGTTTTCTGACAGTGTTTTTAGGTCTTCCTCTTCCTTGTCTCATAATCTGAATGACTGCTACTTCATGACCTCTTTGTCTTCTGTGCCTTTTCACTGCTGTTGGCTTCATTCTTAATTTTGGTGTAGATGAATAAAAATAATATATTATAGGGATGTGAAAAAACTGTCTGCCTAAGACTGTATTCTACATGGCACTAGAGCCCAGTGACTAGTGTATTGTTCAAAACACAACCATAGCCCTAGCTGGTTTGGCTTAGCGGTACAGTGTTGGCCCATGGACCAACGAGTCACGCTTTATTTCCAGTCAAGGGCATGTACCTCGGCTGCAGTTCACCCCCGCCCTGGTCAGGGTTGTGCAGGAGGCAACCAGTCAATGTGTCCCTCTCACGTCGATGTTTCTCTCTCTCCCTTTCTCTCCCTCCCACTCTATCTGAAGATAAATAGAAAATATCCTCAGGTGAAGATTTAAAAAAAACCACGATAAACATGTTTCCTAAATCCACCAAAGGTTTTTTGTTTTTTTTAAAGGGAGAGATTCAGCAGAATTCAATTCTGGACAATGTTTGGGGTAAATTGGGGGGCAGTAAGGGACAGGGCTTTTCTTCCAAAAGCTTTAATTCCAGCCCCTTATAAGTACATATCCCTCTGCAGCAACTATTCTTCCTTTGTCCTCCCCTCTGCTTCCAAGATGGTCAAGTACCCTTAGTTAAATTCTAAATCAAGCCATTTATATAAGTCAATAATTAATTTTCTATTACAAGAGTAGAAAAAAACCTGACCTCAACCATAATTTATTGTTACCAAAAAAACCAAAAATATAATTTGCAATATAAGATAATATTAGGAAAGTTAGTAGCTTTATTTTAGTCCCTAATGTACGAAAAGCAATTTACCCTGCTGTTCCTAAATGGAATAGAAATTAGGAAAAAGTGTTTCCTGTAGCTATAGATTTAATTGGTGCAAGAAGCCACCTCTTGCCCTGGCCGGTTTGGCTCAGCGGTTAGAGCATCGGCCTGCGGTCTGAGAGACCCGGGTTCGGTTCCCACTAAGGGCATGTACCTTGGTTACAGTTTGTCCCCGGCCCTGGTTGGGTTGTGCGGGTGGCAGCCACACAGGGATGTGTCCCTTTCATGTTGATGTTTCTCCCTCTCCCTCTCCCCCTCCCTCCCACTCTATCTGAACAAAAAATGGAAAAATGTCCTCAGGTGAGGATAGAAAAAAAAAAAGCCACCTCTTCCCCTTCAAATAAACATGCCAGTTAAGATACAACCAAAAGACAAGACTTGTTTTTTTTGTTTTGTTTTGTTTTGTTTTTTTAATCCTCACCCGAGGACATTTTTCCATTTTTTTGTTCAGAGTAGGAGAGAGTGAGAGGGAGAGAGAGGAACAGAGAGAGAGAGAGAAACATCGAGGTGAAAGGGACACATTGAGTGGCTGCCACCCGCATGACCAACCAGGGCCGGGGACAAACTGCAACCGAGGTACGTGCCCTTAGCGGGAACCAAACCCGGGTCTCTCCAGACCGCAGGCCGACGCTCTAACCGCTGAGCCAAACCGGCCAGGGCAAGACTTGTTTTAAAACAGAGCTAAATCAAAAAGCAAAAGTCCCTGGCCGGTTTGGCTCAGCGGTTAGAGCGTCGGCCTGCGGTCTGGAGAGACCCGGGTTCGGTTCCCGCTAAGGGCACGTACCTCGGTTGCAGTTTGTCCCCGGCCCTGGTCGGTCATGCGGGTGGCAGCCACTCGATGTGTCCCTTTCACGTCGATGTTTCTCTCCTCTCTCTCTGTTCCTCTCTTTCCCTCCCACTCTACCTGAACAAAAAATGGAAACTCAGGTGAGGATAAAAAAAAAAAAAAAAAAAAAAAAAAAAAAAGCAAAAGAATTTCTCAAACGCATAAGGGCGGGGGGGGGGTGCTCAAAGCCACTGTGGTGAAGGGAACACAGGAATAGAATTCATACCTCAGACAACATACAAATAATGGAACAATCTAAAACAGAGACATTTTAAGACAAGTTAAAATAAAACATTATAAACCATGGCTTAAAAGTTCAGAGACAGCCCTGGCCAGTTTGGCTCAGTGGTAGCAGGCCAAAGGGTCTCGAGTTTGATTCCTGGTCAAGGTCATGTGCCTGGGTTGCAGGTACAATCCCTGGCCCCAGTCTGGGTCTTGGGGGAAGCAACCAATAGATGTGTCTCTCTCACATCGATGTTTCTCTCTCTCTCCCTCCCTCCCAATCTATCTAAATATCCTCAGGTGAAAAATAACAACAACAAAAACATACAAAGAGAACACAGATTCCATTAGGCAAAAACAGGCCACTGTGAAAGAAAGAAACCCCGCACTGTAGTTTCTTGCCCGGTCTCCGTGGTCTCCTCCAATCTCTAACAGTGCCTGTCTTCCCTTATCTTCCATGACCTTGACTTTTATGCAGAACACCGATTGGTTGGTTCTTTTGTCTTTTGTCAAATGTACCTCATTTGAATTTGGCTGTTTTCTTTCTATTTCTTTATTATTTTTTAGCTGATGTTTTCTAATGACTGGACTAATATTATGCATTTTGGGTAAGAATACACAAAACTGATGTGCATATCACAAGTTTTATGATGTCAATATGTTTTATTATTGTGATGTTCACCTTGATCCCTCATTAAGGCATGTTTTGACAGGTTTCATCCCTGTAAAGTTTTTAGCTTTCCCTTTGTAGTTAATGGAGATCTAAGGGAAATACTTTTTTTTTTTTTTAATCCTCACCCAAGGACATTTTTGCATTTATCTTCAGATAAAGCAGGAGGGAGAGGGGTGGGGAGAGAGAGAGAGAAACATCAATGTGAGAAAGACACATCGACTGGTTGCCACCCACATGACCCCAACTGGGGCTGGGGACAAACTGCAACCGAGGTACATGCCCTTAGCACAGCAGTTCTCAACCTGTGGGTCGCGACCCCTTTGGGGGTCGAACGACCTTTCACAGGGGTCGCCTAAGACCATTGGAAAACACATATTTCCGACAGTCTTAGGAACCAAGATACTGCTCCTCAATCCATCTCCAGGCAGGTCTGCCCACATGCAGATACGCCCACATACAACATGAGGAACTGTATTAAAGGGTTGTGACAATAGGAAGGTTGAGAACCACTGTCTAGCAGGAACTGAACCTGGGATTCTCTGGTCCGCAGGCCGTCGCTCTAACCGCTGAGCCAAACCGGCCAGGGCAGAATACTTTAATTCTATACAAATTTCATTTCTCCTCAAATTTTCACTCGTCAATTTTACCATCCATCAGATCATGCCTGCAACATTTATTACTGTTTAACTAAAGCTTATTTTCTATTACCCTCAATCCTTCCACAGTAATTCATTGAAATTCTACCGTAGGGAAGAATTGTCCCAGCCCTGGCTGGTGTGACTCAGTTGGTTGAGTACTGTCCCCTGTACCAAAAGGTTGTCGGTTCAATTCCCAGTCAGAGCACATGACTGGGTTGCAAGTTCGACCCCAGGTCAGGGCATATACAGAAAGCAATTAATCAATGTTTCTCTCTCACATCGATCTTTCACTTTCTCCCTCTCTCTCTCCTTCTTCTTTCTAAGCATGTTCTCAGGCAAGAATTAAAATTAATTAATTAAATAAAGATAAATATGTATATATACTTACTGAATAAATCTAGATTTGTCAACTTTAAAGAGAAAGCTACAAAGTCAAACAAAATTAAAACCAGCAATTTTCTAGATAAATCTAAATTAGTGAATTGAACAAAATAACCAGTACTTTAGCCCAACCGGTGTGGCTCAGTGACTGAACATCAGCCCATGCACCAAGAGGTCGCTGGTTCGATTCCCAGTCAGGGCACATGCCCAGGTTGTGGGCCCAATCCCCAGTGGGGGCATGCAGGAGGTGGCCAGTTGATATTCTCTATCATTAATGTTTCTATCTCTCTGAAATCAATAAAGAAAAAAAATTTTTTTTAAATAAAGAAAAAATATAACCAGTACTTTAAAATTTATATGAAGCCCTGGCTGGGTGGCTCAGTTGGCTGGAGTGCCGTCCCCATACACCAAAAGGCTGGGGGTTTGATTCCTGGTCATGGCACATACCTAGGCTGCAGGTTTGATCCCAGGTTGAGGCACATATGGGAGGCAACCAATTTGATGTTTCTCTCTCACACAGATGTTTCTCTCTCTCTTCCCCTCTTCCTCTTTTTCTAACATTAATAAAAATATATCCTCTGCCTTGGCTGGTGTGGCTCAGTTGGTTGAGCATCATCTCATGGATCAAGAGGTCACCAGTTCGATTCCTAGTCAGGGTACATGCCCGGGTCACAGGCTCGATCCCCAGTGGGGTGTGCAGGAGGCAGCTGACTGATGTGTCCCTCTCACATGGATGTTTCTCTCTCTCTGTGAAAAAAAAAAAACATGTAGCTATATATATATATATATATCTATAGATAACAATATTTAGAAGGAGTTAACGTTTAAATTGGACAAAGAACAAATCAATGTCATAAATTGACTTATTGTATCTAATAAAAGCCAAAAATGTACTTACATAGATTTTAATATTATAATTTCACCAGAAAATAAGTTTAACTCACAAAAATTAATTTTTAATCTATATACAGTAATAGAAACCTTAAAAGATGGAAAGATGGTAAACTTGCAATTACCTGTAAAAGGTGATGATTTCTCTGAAGTTTTTAGAAGTTTCCTATTAATGAATATATAACCACAGGGGCAAGATTTACATGCAACAGGAACCTAGAGGGAGAAAAAAGAGAAAAAATACATTACATTTTGCTTTTATTAAACTTTTCAAGTGTTTCTGTGCTCTCAACTATACAATAAGTAACTTGAAGAAATCATGTTTATATTTAAACTCCATTTCCTCATACAAATTGAGATAAGAATCATATCTATTCTCCTAGTCCTTTATAATTCCATGCATAGAGCAAATGTTATAATACTAAGTGCAGTCCTAGCCAGTTTGGCTCAACAGTTAGAGAGTCAGCCTGTGGACCAGAGGGTCGCAGGTTCGATTCCTGGTCAAGGGCACATACCTAGGTTGCAAGTTCCATCCCCCATCCTGGTTGGGGTTGTGGGGGGAGGCAACTAATAGGTGTATCTCCCTCATATCAATGTTTCTCTCTCTCTCCCCCCACTCCCTTCTTCCCTTCCACTCTATCTAAATATCAATGGAAAAATATCCTCGGGTGAGGATTAACAAATAATAACAATAATTATATATTTTTTAAATGCGAAGCACAAAAATCATTTTCTAAAATGTCAGTGTCAGAATAGTTACAACATGGATTAGAAGAAAGGAAATGGTTTAGGAAATTATTACATGAATTCCAGGATGAGAGGCTGTTGGCCTGTTTTGCCATGTTAGTAGGGAGAATGTATTTTTTTTTAGGTATACATTTGACAGACATTTCAAAGGAAGGAAAGAATAAGACTCGGACACAAACGGATTACTGATGATAAAACAGAACTGAAAATGAGCCTAAAAGTTCAAACAGAAGAGCAGACGAGGGCCAGACACTAACAGGTTGAAAGAAAAAAAATAAAAAGAAACACCATCATGGGATAATGTAAATAAACAAATAAGTAAATAAATATCTGTCCCCGTTTCTGGCACAGAACTCCTATAAGTCTTGCAATTTCCTAAGTGATAAGAGCGCTGGGAGCATCCTCTGTCCAATACTGGGTCTTCGATCCCAATTCCTGACAGAGTTCCTACATCCCTTTGGCATTTCCTGAGTCTTTCACCTTTCATGATAAAACACTGAAATGAGAAATCAGAAATGGAAGGGAACTTCCTCAATATAAAATGCACTTAGAAAAACCCACAATAACATCATACTCCATAGGAAAGACCGAAAGCTCTCTTCCCAAGACCAGGAACAAGACGTGCATATCTGCTTCTGCTGCTTTCACTCAACACCGCAATGGACAGGCAGAAAAATTAGGCAAGGAAAAGGAAATCAAAGGCATTCAAATTGAAAAAGAGAAGTGAATCTATCTCTGTTTGCAGGTCACATGACTTTATATATAAAAAATCCTTGCCCTGGCCGGTTTGGTTCAGCAGTTAGAGCATCGGCCTGTGGTCCTGAGAGACCCGGGTTTGGTTCCCGCTAAGGGCATGTATCTCGGTTGCAGTTTGTCCCCGGCCCTGGTTGGGTCGTGTGGGTGGCAACCACTCGATGTGTCCCTTTCACATCGATGTTTCTCTCTCTCTCTCCCCCTCCCACTCTATCTGAACAAAATATGGAAAAATGTCCTCGGGTGAGGATAAAAAAAAAAGAAAATAATTCTATGTATATGACCATCAAAAAATAAAATAATCGGAATAAATTTAACCAAAAAGATGCAAGGCTTGTACACTGAAAACTATAAATCATTGCTGAAAAATTAGAGACCTAAATTAATGAAAAGACAACAATGTTCATGAATTGGAGGACTTAATATTGTTAAGATGATAATACTTCCCAAATCGAGCTACAGATTCGATGCAATACTTATCAAAATTTCAATGACCTTTTTTTCCTGGAAATAGAAAAGCTAATTCTAAAACTCACATGGATTTGCAAGGTACTCTGAAAAGCAAAAACAATCTTAAATAGTGTGGGGAACAATATAGTGTGGGGAACAAATAGTGTGAGTGTTGGAACACTCATTTCCTGATTTCAAAACTTACTACAGAGATACAGTAATCAAACAGCTGAGCACTTGTGATTTCCAGTTCCAGATGGAGGGGAACATGAAAGTCACCACTTTCATACAGAACAAACTGAAAAGTCAGTAATTCTTCTTAGCTCTGTAAGAGAAGTGTGGTCCCAGGGCAAACCACGGCCCCCCAAATTAGTCAGACACGTGAAGATAGATATTTTCGACCTACCAAGGCAGAAATTCAGGGTCAGGGTAGGAAAAACTCAACTATAGCTGACAAATTGCTGGAGGCTCAGTGTGGACAAGTCTGAGAGTTAAAACTCCGGGGGGACCCAGTCATAGGATGTCCCCCACACTTTTGTGAGTTTCACCTCCAGAAGCTCAACCGGGTCCCCCCAGTAGTGTCAGGGGAAAAGGAACCGCTTGGAAATACACGAGAACACTCTATTAAGGTTAACCGAAAGGTGAACAGAAATCCTCCGTAAGAAAGGCCTCTGGTTAACCTCCCGGCACTCTGGGCCGGCCAGCCCCACTTCCGTGGAGTGTCAGCTGTGTTACTTAGGAGACACTATTTATGGTAACCACGACCCCTGCTGGCATCTCACCTGGTGACAAGCCCTGGCTCTGGACTTCCTAGGCACAGTATCATCACTCCGTTCATTCCCTGCAGAACCTGGGAAGCCACAGGCTTGCTCATGCGCGGAAACACCACCTTTCTCAGCCAGTCGCTCTTGCTACACTAGCAGCATGGTTAACGTGTCTTCCACCTGAGCTGTGCTTTGCAGAGGCAGACAAAGCCTCGGATGCTCTGAGCATCCTGGAGACCCCTTCGGAAGCTGCTCGGCCCGCAGGCAGTGTTTTCTGTCACCTCGGAGCCCTCCTCAGGCTGAACCCTGGACACTGGTGGCCATAAAGCCACTGATGGCCCGAGGACTTAGGTTCAGAAAGGAGACATTAATTCACGAAGACGCATCTCGGCAGGAGTGGCCAGTTCCTCTTTTAAAAAGGTACAGCAATACACAGCATTTAGAGAAAGTGCCTAGAAAAACAGAGCTTAAATGGGAACTTAGTACTCATTACTGTTCTACCCCAAATTGACACCCACTTAAGAATTATTTGAGTATGAAAATTATTAGAAAGCATATTCATATCGGCAAGTTACTGACGTTTAAGAGGAAAACGTCATTCCACTGGGCCCGTCGGTCACACGTGGGCGTCCGCCAGGGCGCGGCGGGGACAGTCGGGCCCCTGCACGTCTGGTGGGAACAAAGCCACCCTGAGGCGCAGACGGGGCGCCCGGGGCCAGGACCCGGCTCCCGGCCGCCACGCGCGCACGCCCGACGGGGCCCGAGGGGCTGCGGGGCCGGACCCCGCCGCTGTCACCGGAGCCGGCCGCCGCCGCGGGGCCAGCCCACGCCCCCTTCCGCGCCGCCGGCCACAGGACGGACACCCGCCGTCTCTCCGCCGCCAGGTGCGCGCCGCCCGGCCGCGGCCCCCGCGCTCCCCGGACACCCTGGCTCGGCGCGGACCCGGCGACGCGGCCTCCCCCAGCCCACCGCCGCCGGCCCGCCGCCCACCTGTTGGTCGCACTCGGGGCACGATTTGGTGGCCATCTTCACTTTCTTGGCTCGACTCGCGGACATGCTCCCCGGCGGCGACGGCGGCGGCTCGGGCCCCTCCCCTTGCACCTCAGCGGCCCGGCCTCCGCCCGCCAGGTCCCGCTGTCCAGACCGAGATGCTGACCGGTGCTCGCGCGCGTGCGCCAGGGCGGGCGGAGCCAGCGTGCGAGGGGGCGGGGCGCGGCGTGCGCCTGCTCGGTGGGACAGGACGGCGCTCCCACCCACCTCGTGCGGGCCCCGGAGCGCGTCCGGATTCTCACGTGAGCGGACCGGCGGGCGCACGCGCAAGACAGTGGCCACGCCCCCTCTCGGCTCGGCGGAGGGTGGGGGCGTGGCTACGGCGGGACGGGCGTTGGGCTCGACCAGTGCGTGCACGGGATGCAGAGAGGTGCACAGCACGCCCCCTGCGGGAGGGAGGAGAGCCCGAGTGTGAGAGGGGTGCGGGCGAAGCTCCCGGGACAGGTCCTGGCGTTTAGTTAACTTCAGTAACCACAGCAAGTCTACTCAGACCGGGAATGGAACCAGCAGTTGTGGCCCAGTTGGTTGGGCCTTGCTCCATGCACCAGGGCGTTGCCAGTTTGATTCCTAACCAGGACACATGCCCACGTTGCAGGCTTTACCCCGGGTAGGGGTTGTGCTGCAGGCAGCTGATCTGTTTCTCTGTCATCCATGTTTCTATCTCTCCCTCTCCCTTCCTCTGAAATCCATAAGAAACATATTTTTTTTAAAAAAGGAAACTGTAGCCTTGGCCAGTTTGGCTCGGCGGTTAGAGCGTCGCCCATGGACCAAAGAATCGTGGGTTCCATTCTGGTCAAGGGCACGGACCTTGGTTGCGGTTTGATCCCGGCCCTGCCCTGGTCCAATCTTGGCTGTGTGGGAGGCAACCAATGGATGTGTCTCTCTCACATCAACGTTTCTCTCTCTCTCTCTCTCTCTCTCTCTCTCTCTCTGTCTGAAAATAAATGGAAAAATATCCTCGAGTGAGGATTTTTTTTTAAGTTAAGTAAATAAAAATAAAAAGGAAACTGTACACTTTGCTCAGAGAAAACGTGCCCATCAGTGTTTATGACAGACAATGGCTATTACACTGGTAACTTGTTCTACCATTGTAACTAAAACATAGGTATGAATGACATTTCTATTGTGTATATTAAATGCCTGTAAGCACATTTGGAATGAATACAAGGTATATAAATATGTAAAACTTTCAATGTGATAAATGAGATTGTTCCTTCTTTGGTCATTTATCTAAACTAGGTTGGATTGATAAGTTACTTTGCAGAGGAAAATTTATGTCTAAACTATTTCTAAGTTCTCATTATCAATGAAAGAACATCCAAACCTATAGAAAAGTTTCATGAGTTTATTGGAGCCAAGTTTTTGAGGACATGCCCAGAATTTAAGATCTCAAAGGATCGCTAAAATGCTCCGGAAAATGACAGTTTTGCATTTTGAATCAGAAGAGAAAACGTAAGAAAGGTACATGACATCTATTGGTGGTATATTAAGGAGGTAGGAGGAAGTCAAACAGGGAAAACTCTAGGATTAGATCAAAGGCAAAATGGAGAAACACATATTTCTTTTACATCAGCGGTATAGGATAGTTAATAGTGAACATTTACAGCACATAGAGATAGCATGAGAAAAACAAGATAACAATGAGGGGTTCTGTGGTCTCATGGTCTCATGGTCTTGTGCCATGGTGCCTGTGGCTGTGCCTTCAAGGGATCTGAAAAAGAAAATTACTCTGGCATTCCAAAGGTGTGTTATCCTAGATGCACAAGAAAAATGGACAAGGAGCCCTGGCCTGGTTGGTCAGTTGGTTAGAGCATCATCCAGATATGCCAAGGTTGAGGGTTCAGTCTCCAGTCAGGACACATACAAGAATCAACCAGTGAATGTATATAAATGGAACAACAAGTCGATGTTTCTCTCGCTTCTTTCCTCTCTGTCTCTAAAATCAATCAATCAATAAAAAACAATGGACAGGTTTGCTTTTTATTATTTTTTTTTCTTTATTGATTTGAGAGAGAGAAAGAGAGATGAAAGCATCGATGAGAGGGAACATCAATTGGCCGCCTCCTGCATGCTCCCCACTGGGGATGGAGCCCACAACCTGGGCACGTGCCCTGACTGGAAATAGAACCAGCGACCTCTTGGTGTGTGGGCTGATGCTCAATCACTGAGCCACACCGGCTGGGCAAATCTGTGGATATATTTAAAAAGCTCCACACTGATGATGGTGGGAGGCCTCAGTTCCTCACCACGTAGGCCTCTCCGGAGGACTGCTTGAGTGGCCTTATGACATGTCCGCTGGCCTCCCACAGGGCAAATGATCCCAGAGAGCATAAGACAGAATTCACAATGTCTTTTATGACCTAACTTCAAAAGTATACTCGTTTCTACAACATTGTACTGGTCACACAGGTCAGCTTCATTGAGAGCGGGAAGGGACTAAGTCAGGCATGTATCGCAGGAAGCAGGGGTACCTGGGGGTCATCCTGAACGCTGGCCACCACAAGCACTCAAAAGAAGCAATAACTCATTCTGCCAGGGCATGCTGGGGAGGGCTCCACAAGGAAAGTGACTGAGAGAGGGTTTTTGGGGTCCCACATACCCTGAGAAAATTGAGAATGTTCCCCAGAGACCAGAAGACAAAAAGAAAGAACCGGGACAGGCCACAGGCTTCTGATGCTGTTTCTGAGCGTGCTCCTGTCCCGCGCACTGCTGCAGGTGCGCCATTCTCACGAGGAGAAATCAGACCAGGCGGGAGCTTCTTTAATAGCAGCTTGATGGACCACAATGGCTATTCAAACCTCTGCTGAGCTCCCTGTAATCAGATGTGAGCTTCGCAGGGAGACAGACCTCAGCTACAGCAGCCCCGCCTCTCCTCCGGTCGTTTTAACATTCAGAACACCAAGTCTCCACCGAGAGCCCTTTGAAATGTTTACATTTTGGTGGGAGAAGAGAAGAACAGTGGGAAGCTCAGCAGATCTGTAAATTAACACATTTCCCATTTCTCTCAGAAAACCAAAAATAGCTCAAGTTACAAATTAGAGGTCTTTGTTCTTTCTTGTTTTTTTTTTTTTTTTCTTTTTTGTTTTGCTTTTTTCCCCAAAAACTTTGGAATCGTCAAGAAGGAAGAGCCCGACTGCAGAACGTACAGAAATGAGGGGCGTGGAGAAACGTAGCCAGGTGGCCCACGTGACCGTGTGCCTGAAGCCCATCGTGTGCTTGGCTGTTTTGGTTACATGGGCCAATGTGAGAACGCAGATCTGGTTGTGTGCTGAGTCTCTCCCCTTTTTCTTCCTTCCTTCCTTCCTTCCTTCCTTCCTTCCTTCCTTCCTTCCTTCCTTCCCTCCCTCCCTCCCTTCCTTCCTTCCTTTCTTTCATCTTCACCCAAGAACATTTTTCCACTTTTGTTCAGATAGAGTGGGAGGGGGAGAGAGAGAGAGAGAAACATCGACAGGAAAGGGACACATCAAGTGGCTGCCTCCTGCAGGACCCAACCAGGGCTGGGGACTAATCGAAACCCAGGTTTGTGCCCTTGACAGGAATTGAACCCGTGACTCATTTGTCCTTGGGCGGCCAACGCGCTCACTGCTGAGCCAAACCGGCCAGGGCTCCCCTTTATCTTTCACGGGTTTACCTTTATGTCCTGGAAATAAACCTCTTGTACTCCATCACAGGAGTCACTGACACAGCCCCTCGCACCGGCTCCGGTCCCCGCGTGAAGTGCACGTCCTTCTGCAGCCAGATCCCTTTGGGCCTGTTTGTACTGATTCCCAGGGTGCTCTTCGCACACCAGCACCTCGCTCGTGCTCAGGGACGGCTCTCAGAGCCCTGGGATTAGCCCAGGCTGCAGCCGAACGAACGTTCGCAAAGGCCAGGCTCGGGTTCGGCCCCCTCTTCCCACCTGAGCAGGACTGGCAGGTTGAGAATCACAATGCCAAGCTCCTCGCCATCTGAGACACAACCTACCTTCCCAAGTTCTCCTGCGGGGTCAGACCGAAGCTGCCCTCCACAGGGCTTGCCGGAGACACACCTGTCCCGGCTTCCTTCCCTTCTCTGTCCTGCTTCTCCCACTCCACTTCCCGCTGGCCCTGCCCTGGGAGCACTTCCTCAACAGATCTCCTGCAGCGACCCTCCTCCAGGGACCCACCAGGAGCCAGCACCTGGGGCCACAGCACCCTCAGGTGGCGTCTCCTGCAGAACAGCTCCTGCCGTGTCCTGCTCCTCCCTTTGCTCCACCAGGCCTGTGGCGGTAGCTGCTTCCTACTGCCACTAAGTCCGGCACGCTTCCTGGGTCCCTTCCCACTCCACTGCAAGTAGCCCTTGCATTAAACAGCCGCCAGCCACCCCTCTGGACTGTGCTACTGTTTCCTGCCAGAGTCCTGAGTCATAAACATCACCATTATAGGATTTTTCAAATTTTCTATCTCTATCTAATTCAGAGGGCCCCAGTGGTTTAGAATGAGACACAAGTTTAGCTTCATGAAATGAACACCCTTTCCCCATCCTGTCAATGTGGCGCTGGGAACTGTGTGTATAATAATTCAAAATAGAGATGACATCAAAAGTCTGATTTTGAGCCCTGGCCGGTTTGGCTCAGCGGTTAGAGCGTCGGCCTGCGGTCCCGAGAGACCCGGGTTCGGTTCCCGCTAAGGGCACGTACTTCGGTTGCAGTTTGTCCCCGGCCCTGGTTGGTCGTGCGGGTGGTAGCCACTCGATGTGTCCCTTCACGTCGATGTTTCTCTCTCTCTCTCCCTTCCTCTCTCTCCCTCCCGCTCTATCTGTACAAAAAATGGAAAAATATCCTCGGGTGAGGATAAAAAAAAAAAAAGTCTGATTTTGAGGTTCTCCCTCATGTGAAGGCAGAGGTGACGGCCTCCTCCCTCCAGTGGGCCCTCAAAGGCCCTAACCAGTAAACAACTTGCAAAAGGTGACACCTGGCACTAGATGGCAGCCTTGACAAGCCGCTGCCCTTGCTCCCAGAAGCCATTGCAAGTTCCAGCCTGCCTGGCTCTTGTCTCAGGTTTCACAGTCGAGCAAAGCCGGCTCTCCACTCCCAAATC